CCTGAAGGACATAGGACTAATACACGGACATATTCAGTACTCTACCCGAAGGACATAGGACTAACAAACGGACTTATCCAACACTTTACCAGAAGGACCCAAGCACTCCTGTAAGTAGGATTTACAATACAAACGCAACTCTGTGATATTGAGATACTCTACCTCCAACAATCCGTCCATTCAGAAAACTAACAAACGACAAATGAACAACTTTATAGCAAACACCTACAGTAAATAAACCGCAAATAACAAAAGAAAAAACAAAAACAAAGAAAAAACAAAAACAAAGAATAAACAAACACTAAATAGCGAATAAGAGACCACTTGAAAACAAATACAAGTTAGTGGCTGAAGGGTACACTGGTGTAGTTTGCTACTTCTGTCCTATCAAACATTTCTCGTCCTTGCCTTTCCTCTTTCTTTTCTTTGTATGTAACACCTCTAATCTTCGCACTTAATGTCCTATTTGTGTTGCAAGTGCCATAAATCTTTAAAAAACCCAAAAAAACCCAAACAAAGCAAAGCAAACAACGATACCAATAACGTAAATAAATAAACAAATAAGTAAATAAATAAATAAATAAAAGGATAAATTAAAAATAAATAAATGAATGAATAAAAAATAAATAAAGCATCAAGTTTTAAACCAAACTTTCTAACTTCAAATGTTATCTTTCGCAATACTCCGAACTGAGACAAAGCATCCTTCTGCAAAAGGTCTTGTTCCTGACACTGACAGTGTATTGGACGACTAATTCTTTCTCCACAGCCCATCGATGGTTACGTCTCTCCTCTCGTTTGGTTATATTATTATTTCATACACATGTATCAGAGTGTACAAACTGTGATATTATCAACTTCTCTGCACCATACCAGAAGACTCTTGCATATACCGCCTTCCGTATCTGTTGGATGCTCGTATAGCCAATGAGTGGCCTTTTTTTTTTTTTCAATACACACACAAGGTTTTCGCTTTCTTTTTCTTTTCAGTGTGTGTGTGTTTTAAGGGTAAAAAGAAAAAAAGAGAGGGGGGGGGGGAATAGATCATTTAAGAATGGAAGATTTCAGCACTAAAACAAGTCTAATATAGAGAGGACAGCGGCGGGGAGGGGGGGGGGGGAGGGTAGAGTGAATGAGAGAGAGAAAGACAGAGACAGAGAGAAAGAGAGACAAAGAGGAAGAGGAAGAGAAAGAGAGAGAGAGACAGAGAGAGAGAGGGGGGGGGGGGGGGGAGAAAGAGATATTTTTGAATACTTGTAGACTACTAAGTATTATGTAGGCCTATTTTAAAAACACTTCTTTTACTAGACGGATGCTAAAGCGCAATAGTACATTTTCCTCCAGGTCGCTGTTCGCCGAGTTTCTATCGGATCGATCTGTCTAAAACCACAAAAATTGGTGTCTATACATGCCCACCACTGCATATTATCGCCCTTTGTATGTGTATTTAAACATAAATATACATATCTAAGGCATTTTATGTACCCTTGTGCGCGAATACTTCACGTATTTCAGTGCCGTCGTAAGTAATTAATATGTCCTGTAAAGTGCATTTAAGCGTTGTAAATTATGGAAATGCTAAAAATGTAGTGTATTACTTAAAAGACAACTTTAAACAAGCCTAATTTGTGGATTTGGCTGTCTTTAACCAGCACATGCCGTTGAACCCTCATGACTATCTCACAATCTTCGACCTTGACCTTTTGGGGCCTTATCCAGATCTTCGTTTAAAAAATTAATTGTGTACATTTTGAGGCAGTTTGGTGAAATCATGCGCTTATCAAATAATGAAATTGAAGAAATCGGCATTTTTCTGTTTGTTTGGCAGTTTTTATCGAATTTTCTTTTCTTGGGATAAACATCTTTCAAGTTTTTTTTTAAATGCATTTCCGTACAGATTTTACTGGAAAAACGTAAAAAAAACCCTAACTTTTCAGTTTCCAAGAACTTTCAAGTTTTGAAGGACATCAAACTTTAACGGCCATTTTTTCGCTAATTTTACCTCTGACATCATACAATCCCACCTACTTCAATCGCAAATATTACAGCTACTATACAAGATAGCTCGGTATTTTCATAGAACGTAGGGGACAAATAAACAAGCTTTAAGATGAATCCAATAACTCCATATGCCCAAAACTGGACGAGCGCCTGTTTCCACCGCGTCGTGTAAGTTCAATTTTCATCCTACCGTCAGTTGAGTCGACCTCTGGGCCGCTCCGTCATCCACCAAATGATCTGTCTCTCTTAGAAATGTGACAAAGTTTCAAAGAAAAGGTAAAAAAAAAAGAAAAGGAAAGGAAAAAAATGAACAGAAAAGAAAGGGTAGAAAAGAAAAGGAAAAAGAAAGAAAGTGAAAGAACAAAAAAGAACAGAAAAGAACAGAAAAGAAAAGGAAAGGAAAGGAAAAATAAGAAAAGAAAAAGAAAGAAGAGAAGAGAAAGAAAAGAAAAGAAAAGAAAGAAAGAAAGTGAAAGGACAAAGAAGCACAGAAAAGAACAGGAAAGAAAAGGAAAAGGAAAGAAAAAGAAAGAACAGAACAGAATAGAAAAGAAAAGAAAAGAAAATGATAGAAAAGACAAGAAAAGAAGAAAAAAGAAAAGAAAAGACACCAAAAGACAAGGAGAGAAAAGAAAAGAAAAAGAAAAGAAAAGCAGTGATATCCCCTTCCAACCCCCGCACTCTTGCTAAAAACTAACAGACTACTCCCACAAACAAGTAAAGAACCGACCCTTGACACC